TTCCTGCAGCCAGGTAGCGTCAAATGGGAAGCGCTGCCTCCATAAATAACACCACCGCTACAAATCCAGGTCTTCAGCTACATGTTGGGGCTTTTTCAACAAAGTGCTACTATAATTGGAATAAAAGTCCTTAAGTGAACATGATTTAATATCAGAGACACCGAACACTTCAGTCAAAAATAAACCCGATTTTTTTTCCTCCTTCTGTAGGCAAAATCTGATTTTTGTTTTCTTTCATTGTTGGAGTCTGTTTCCATGACGGTGTGTTATACATTTATTAATTTCTCAGCCAAAACCCTACCGTTCAGATTTATGATGGCTGGTGTTTTATGAACTATCCGCTGCACAATAATATTTTGTAAATCCACATTCCACAAACATCACTGTGCTTGAAGTAAAGCTTCACACTCAGCTAGGCTGGGCGCTCAACAATACCCTCATTTTTAATCAGTCACCTGTTTCTCATTTTAAGTTTATCACACTTGAAAAAATACTATAATTTCTAGAGTTGTAAAGAAACCTACAAACTTTGGTCTCAGAAATTTCATTTCGAAGGCATTAACTCATTTTGAAAGTCCCTTGGCTATTTAAGGTGTAGAGTTTCCATTAACAGAATAAACTCCATGGAGTATGGAGCGTAATGTTCTTAAGGAAAACAGTCCCTTCCCCTAATTATTTAGTCTAGCAGGGAATGAAAATAATTAAGTCTCAAAATTCCCTTTAGAGTGGGGGGGGAATATGGTAGAAAAATTTACTTTTTTTCCACCCAGCTACCGAAGGGAGCCGAGCCGCCCTGGGCACGATCCTTAGCTGGAAGGTAGCCGCAGGCGGGCGCCGGCTCATGGGTGAGGGCGCAGGGATGCCCTTCAGAAACCGTCAGAGCTACAGCCACCCTGAATTATCTTTTCTTTCCAGGTGTTACCGCTAAGGCTCAAATTTAAGGCTTTTGTTCACAACCAAAATGGAATTATAACAAAAAGGCGATCGCCGGCTGTAAGCGGCTGTCAGCGCTGAGGATGCCCGCATCCGGCACTCGGTTAAAGATTGCTAAGGGGTCTAGATTAAAAAAAGTAGGTATCCTGCTAACTGCCTCCTCTTACACTTCTCGCACCCAGATCGGAGGATGCAGATCAATCACTCGGGTTCCGGTCATGGTTCTCCCGTGGGAACGTGCCCAGGGCCGGGCTGTGGGTGCAGAGGGCTCGCCAGCCCCGCTGGGAGCTTCAACGTGCAACAAGGAGACGTTTAAAATTAAATAAAGAAGTGGTGTTTTTGAAATTTAAAGGAAAAAAACCAAAAAACCGAGCAGGCGAGCCCGCCCGAGCAGAAGTAACGCTGGGTGAAAAGCAGCTGACGGAGCCGCTGTGCCCACGCCGGCCGCAAGTGCCACGAGCGTAAACCCAGCAGAATTGGGCTGGGGCACAAAAACTGGAAAAGAAAAAGGCAAACGATCACTTTGGTCTCCTTACACAGGCAAAGCGCTAACAGCAAACAAGCAATAACCGAAGAAATGTAAATAGCAACAGGAATCAGTGACCGACGTGAGAGCCCAGTGCAGGATCCGACCCCGACCCGGCTACCCCAGCGCGGGCAGGCGTGAGCACCCACCCGTGCCCCCGGTCCTCGCCTTCACACCTGGGTGAAACTCCGGACCGTGCCAATGTCCCAGGTGTTTGGATTGGGTTCGCCAAAACCCAAAACGTGACCCACAACCCGGGACCCAGAGTGAAACGGGGTGTTGGATTTTGGTCTGAGCCAAAACGAGCATTTGTAAATTGTTATTTTTATTTTACGCCACCCAAAAATACACTAGACCCATGAAAAACTTTTAAAGCAAAACTAATGCTAGACCAAAGGCAGCTGACACATAAAACCAGCGCTGGATCCCGATCTTTTCCTACTATAAACTAGCTGCTAAAGAGTGAAAACAGAGTCCGTACTTCGGTTAAACCAAGGTAACACATGAATCAAGACCCTGTTCGACAAGATCTACAGCACCGTGTGTGCAACACAGCATCCACGCTGCTGTGTAATTACTTATTGGACCTGCTTGTATCCCTTTGTACGCTCTGCTCATAGGGTATGTATATCTCCTATATATAGGATATATTTATCCTATAAATACTAACAAAGATACAGATTTGCTTTTGGTTTTGCTTTAAATTCCTGAACATTTCACTTCCTCACCTGTTACAGAACACAATAAAAAAACCTATTCACCACCTGGAGCAATGCGGTGTTATCCCAGCCACATCTCCCTTCATTATTTTCATTTTAAAATGAGTTCCTGGGTTCAACGACTTCATTTTCATTTATTTTAACACCACTGATGCCAGAAAGCACAGAAGAGACGCAGCCCGTCTATGGCAAATCTCGGAAGGCAAGACGTGATATGTATTTTCTTGATTTTTAATCTGTTGCAATGTCTTGTTTTCAGCCTCGGTCGTGGTGAGTACCAGGAGCAACGTTTATGGCACTGGGGGACACGTGGTAATAAACAGCCCTGGGATTATCAAATGCTTCTGTCGCTCCATGAACCGCGAGAGCCGTTTATTGCCAGCAGCCACCAGATGGTCATTGCTTCTGGCTGCTGGCACCAGGGGACACCTAATTCAAACTGACGACTCGGTGTCTAAAGGTCCCAGGTTCTGCTAAAACTCCCCAGGGTCAGCCAGCACTCAGGACTGACTTTCTTTCTTCCAGGTTGTTTGGTTTTTTTTTTAATAAAAAAAAGCAACGCAGGGGAATGCCCCGCAATGAACGTCGCTCGGTGAATTTACAGCACTGAGCCTCGGGGACGCGAGAAAAGTTTGGTGAGACTCGGTTGATAAATCCACCCAAGACGGAGCCGACGCAGTGCAGGTTCTCCGGTCGCTCTTCCAGCCCAGCCTTGCAAATGATGCCCCAACGCTCATCTCTGCGATGAGCTCCCGAAGGGCCCAGCTCCTGCCGGATCCCGGTGTGTGAGCCCTCTCACCGGGCTGAATTTCTGCCCACTGTAAGCTCTGGTGCATGTTAGCACCCTAATGAAGCACCCACCGCCTTCGCCACGTGAGCGGTTGCACAGGCGCTGGGGCTGCACTCTGCCCCTTCCCTGGCCATCAGAAAGGTGCCACCTCCGTGGGGGCCTGAGCGGCCCCTGAAAAGGAGGTGGCAGGGAGCAGTGGGGAGGTCCAGCTTGCTGTCACAAGCCACAGACCCTACTTTGGCTGATAAATGCACGTGCAGCCAAGCGAAGGTCCATAGAAACAAAGAGAAAACACGGCCAAAATGGGAACGCAACCCATAGCAAGGAGGTTTCATGCACGATGGCGTGCTCCTCTTGACGGCACCGAGCCAGACCAGCTGATCGCACAGCATCAGCCTGCTGCTCCTTGCATGGAAAGCCAACCCCAGCACAGCTAATCAGAGCTAAAACCCCTCCACGCACATTATTAAAGCTGTATCTGTCCGTGGCAAGGGCCGTGCTGGCCTAGCCCAGCACGCCTTTTGTAGCAATAATTAATAGAGGTTCCCCAGACCCCTCCTGGACCGGAGCCAAGGCATCATTATTTGCGTGTAACAGATCCACTGCTTGTGTAACCCAACAAACTGCAACACCATAACGCGCCCTGAACTATAAACCATCGTTTATGGGAACTCCGGTGCGGCTGTGAGCCTCTGGGCTATGGGCAGGCTCCTGCCCTGTGCACCGAGAGCGCCCGCTGGTTCGCTCTGCGATGCTGCACCGACGGGAAAACCGGTTCTCAAATGAGAATATGTGCAAAAGCCCCAAAATAACTGTTCTTACAGCGGTCTCGGCTCCTGTACCTGGAGGGAGTATGTTCCCATCAGCCTGTACCGATGCCCTGATAAGGTGCCTGCGCACTAGGACAGGGCTGGATGCCTGGGGAACCCCAGAAACACAGTTATTAGAAAAACTCAAATATGATGGTGGGAAACTCACTTAGCGGTTGTATTCCAAGCTGTGCTTCTGCTCTGTTTTTTTGCAGACTATACACAGACATACCTTCAGCTCAGAGTATAAACCATTTCGGGTTTGTACATTTCTACCACCTTGGCATGTGTAAACCATCTCAGAGGAAGCGCTTTGGTAAAAGGTGGAAGTTGTTAATGTCTTAGCTGGAAAAGGATTCTCTCCTCGGAAGGTCTGGGGGATGCACTGCGCTAAAGCTGAAAAACATCAGCAGGGTTCAAGAGGAAGTTCATTTCACACGGTGCCGTGAACCTTCATCCTTGTTTGCAGTGCATCTCGAGAGCCTCAAATGGAAAATATTAGCAAGAGCATAATATTACTTGAGTTGATCCAAAATTCCCTTAAAATGTTTTCTCAGCTAAAAATAACTTCGTCAACAAAACAGACACTTTTGTGAAAAATTTCCTTTTGTAGAAAACCTTGGGGCTTTCATCTGTGCCTTTCACTTGCTGATGTTTGCTTTGTCTCTTCATTGAAAACACAAACACTTCCAAGACAAGTGTCCACGAACCCAAGCATTTTTGCGGGGCTGTTTTGTCTTTGAAATACCTCAGTAGGCCGGTAGAAATGGCAGTTGTGATCTAAGCTTGCAAAGCAATCGTAGCAAAAAATCTAAAGCTGACGGGCAGGAAACCGCTTCAGCAGTCACAATTTCTGTCCAAGAGAAGCAACGCCGAGCCCTTCACAGACGTGCCTGGGAACGGGCTCAACCAAAGGGTCCTTGTGTCCCCGCTAGGAAGGCATTAAGGTGCCGAGAGCACCAGCTCTTCATGGTGTCCTCATATTAAACCCACCCTATTTAAAGACCACCTGGGTACCATCAAATACAAAACCCAATCCATCAACAGAAACCGCCTGTGCGCGTCCCAGACAGGACCAACACGGAGCCTGGGTACTTCCAGCTCCCTCGGCAAAACTCAAAGCTTACCGTGGGGGTGCTCTGCCTGCAAATGGGTTCGTTGCCATCAAGGACAAGGTCTCTTCTTCCTGGGCCAGCAGCTTCCCAGCCAAGTGGATTACCCATTCATTCTGCTCGTAGGTCTTGGGGAAGGAATAAGAAATGCAAATGTTAGGCACTGCTGGGCTTGCCAGGTAGTGTTATTAACATTAAAGACTTCTGTGAGGTCTCTGGGGAGAGATTACAACCGATTCAGGTAGCAAACGATGAATTTCCTGGTGTTGCAGGGAACAGATCCCATGGGATCCAACACCTTGAGGTCCAGACTGAGACCCTCCGGCATCTGCGGGGAGCAGAGCGCGCTGTGCTAAGCTTGTCTCATCTGGAAACCATTCCCGAGGGCACGGACACAACTGAGGGTGTGCAAGTCGCAAAGGTTTAATGAGTTGTTCGTTAGCTGAGCGGGGATGGCTATGTGCACGCTTCCAGCCTGCCCCAACTGCAAAGTAGCATCCTCCATCTCAAGCATCCCCAAAGGAATTCTCATCACAGCTGAGGGGGGCAAAGAGCATGCCCACAGCCAGCGGCCACAGCTCAGCTCATGATTAGAGACTAGATGATGGTCAGGGATGCATCTCTACCTTCACCCAGCCCGGACAGTGACCTCTGCTCAAGGCGTGATGTCTGAGGGGGCATTTCTGCCAGCCCTGCATCCCCGCCGAGCCCGTAGCACTGCTTTGTCCCGGCGCCAGGGAGAAGCCTACAACTGCTGCTACTAGGAAAGCATAGTGCCTCGCTGGTCCAGGAGACGTGTAGCACACACACAGCCCTTCCCTGGGGCAAGGGGTGCCCCCCACCCCCGGTTCTCCCCAGCACCCATCGGCTGCAGCTCCTCCTACACCTTGGATCACAAATCTCTTTTTGACTTCACACAGCTCTGACACAGCTGGAGTGTCCTTGCCACTTCTGCACCCCAAATACTTGATTTAAATAATTTCTTTTAGCAGCAAGCTCCACAGAGGAACAGCAATGGCACGTTTTGAAATGACCATCCATCCATCATTTTAAAATAGGTGGCTTTCCCCTGTGGTGTCATCCAAGAGAAAACAGAAGAAAGTGGCTCCTCTAGTCCCGATTCCTCTCTCCTCTTTATTTCCTTTCATCTGATCTGTCCTCTTTACATCCCGTGCCTGTGCCGTACCCTTAATCATGCAGCCACTGGAAGTGAGCAGATCAGCTCTCGGGAGCTGCAGTCCAAGCTACAGTCGCAGAACTTGACTCTGCATTTACCTCCCTCCAGGAATCCATGCATCTCATGCTCTTCCCAGGGATTCTTGCTGAGGCTCCATAAAAAGAATTTCCCCTTCTGGTGACTTTCTGTGTCTTATACTTCCATTAAGATTTTTTTTTTCCCTCCTTTTTTAATGTGTACCTAAATGGATTTTTTAATGCAAGCAGTAGGGGACACTGTGGGAAAGCGAAACCCAGCAGCTGTACCTGCAGGACTGTGACTAATGCAGAACATCAAGGCAAAGTTACTCTGCAAATCTTTTCTAATGGTAAAGTTTGTTATTTCCGTTGCTAAGGGAAACGGAGGAGAGAAACGAGATGGAAAACACCAAACACTGGTGGAAAGGCCCTTCAAGCGGCAGCTCTACCTCACAGGGTTTCTGACCCGTGCTCATCACAATTTAGAGGAAAACCACAGTTATTTAAGCCAACAACTTTTTAAAAAAGATCACTCTCCCCATCTGCCTGTTTCCGTCCTGCCTCACCACCGCGGCTCGTTCCATCTGCTGTCCCGGCCGCACCACCAACACGGATGGGTGGTGGAGCCAGGGATGTTTCCCACCGCCAGCCCCGTGCCATGCTTTGCCCAGCCCAAAGCCCCGTTTAACCTCCGGCGCACCCCTCTCTCCACCGACACCCTGTGCCATCCCCTGTCTCCCATCTCCCGGTCCCCTTCCCGGCACAGAGGAGGTGGTGGCGGCTCTCAAGGTGGGACAGGGCAACCTCAGCCCCCGTGGGACTGAGGCCACCGTGGCCCTGACGCAGCGGTCTGGGAGGGGAGACGCGGTGAGCCCTGGAGCCGGGAGCTTGGCATCACATGAGACGTTAAACACAAACCTTGCAAGTCTCGCAATAACCCTGCCAAGGCTGGCAGGGCTGCAGGGAAAGCCGGCAGCATCCCTGCCAAGGGTTCGACCACGTCGCGTTTCGCAGGACAACTCACGCTAAGACTCCCAGCTGCGCCGAGCGACTCTGTGCCCCTCGCTGGCCCGGCGATGTCCGGGATGCTCGGCTCAGGCTGGGCTTTGGGCGGGTGGGCGCCGTGCTGGGACCTGAACCCCGGGGCACCCTTGGCTGTGAGCAGGGACCTCCTGAGAGAGGTGCAACAGCAATTGCAGACAATCAAATATTGCAAGGCAGACCTTCAGCATCCTGTGCCTCCCTGGAGACCCCTTTTTAAAGTGCTCTGTATGATTTTAAGTGCTATTTCTAGGAGGGCCTGGGAGGTGTGAGGGTTCCCGTGTGCGAGTTGGGGAGAAGCTGGAGAAGAACAGAAACAGAAATCACCAGACTCCCGGAGCTAGAGCTTTATGGAGGATCCCAAATCTTCAAAGCCTGATTCAAAACCATGAGGCTCTGTAATGGTGGAATCGGTTCCCTGGCTTACATGGTCTCCAAATTGTTAATTAGCAGCCCCATGCGCACGAGAATTGGACTTCTGGTTTGTAAAGCGTTTTTCTTGTAAAATTTACAACATGTCTGGCCCCAGCAAAGTCTGTGGTGAGAAATTTCCACCCGGTGCAGCCCCCCACACTCCCCCCAGCACGAAGGCTTAGATATCGCGCGCTGCCTATGCTCGGAGCACGCAGGACCTGAACTGTACTAATGACCGCGCTGTTTAACTCATTACTCTGTAAAGTGGTATGGTGGCAAAGGGAGGAGAAAAAAAGAGCCCAGGAGATCTGGGCTGCATCCAGGGAAGCATCACAGCACAGGGTGGGAAGGTGACAGTTCCTCTGTCTGTGGATCCAGCGAGACCCAGACCCGAACACTGTTTGCAGAGCTGCGACGGTCAGGATAGGAGGGATTTGCCTGGCGTTGCGCTCTGCTTTTGCCAGCTCTGAGCGTGCAAAACAGGAAAGTCAGAGCTTGAACCATCCAGTGGATTAATAAAAGAGCCAGGACAGATGCACACATTGCTTTAAGGTGGGCATGCACGCACGTATTGGGTTCACCTTTAGGTTTTGGATCTTCACCGAGCACAAAGACAGGCAGCTGGGGACTGACCCTGCACCAGCGACGCGGGTGCCCAGGCTGCTCTGCCTCCCTGCACCTCCATCAAGACATGGGCACGGAACCAGAGTCCCACACCTCCTCCAAAAGCTGGGGCTGCAGCTCCCCTCGTGCCACGCAGGGCCCGTGCCGTACCCGTGTTGGGATTACTGGGGAACCAGTGACCCGCACAGCCTCCTGCTACAAGTTGCTGGTCGGAGCATGCTGAAATGTGCCATGAGCTGCACAACTCACTGCCCGAGCCTGAACAGAGCACCCCTGGGAAGATGCAGCCCACCATGGATGCAGACATGATTCTCTCCTTTATCTTTTGAGAGTGTTCTTTCTGTTTTAGCACAGAAAGCAACTCAGGAACTTAAACGCACAAAAACCCATCATCAACCCAACTAAAATGCCTGAGAAAGGCAGCTCGGGTAGAGGTTAAGGTTCCCAGAGCAACGCTACCTCCACCACAAAGCCGAAGCCTTTCTGTGTTCAGGGACAGACCCACGGAAACGCAGCAGGCACAGCTCTCCAGCAAGCCAGATCATCTTTAACTGTCCTCACAGCTGGTACCAGCACTCAACATCTCTGAAAATCAGGGTTTAGGTATAACACAGTGGACTAACAAAGAGGACCTGGGACTAGGTGTTAAGACCCCATGAGCTTTTATTTCCTGACGGGCTTCAGCCCCGTGTGGTGCTCGGGTAGCTGCTTCCCCCTGGCTTTCTGTGCCAGCCTCCCTGCGCACGCTGCTTTGGGACGGGGGTTTGCTCCTTCTCCCCACCCGCACACGGCCCAGCGCGAGGAGCCGAGCACCACTGCGTGCCCCGGGGTACCACCACCTCCCGGGAGCAGCGCTGCCCTGAGACTTCTCTTCAACTGTTTATATTCTCTGACCTCTCCACTTACACGCTTTACCAGTGTATAAACACGGCATTCTCACCTTGAATACGTTAACTCGTATACAGAAGTATTTAATAACTTTACAGAATTTAAAACCAAATCACTGCTAAGTCAGGCAACAGCAAGGAGCTGGGGGCAAACCAGACGCAGTAGCGACGGAACTCTGCAGAGATAACAAAGTAGAAGAGAATATAATAATAGCAAAAAATACATATAAAAACCACCCGGCGCTATAGGGAACATGTTCCCAACTGAAATAATAATAATAACTCCTCTTTTCCTCTAGCTTTAATTGGTCATTTAATGAAAAAGGACTGCGGATTAGTGTGGCATTTTATTGAATCTCGGTCCTGGCACAGGCACACGGGAGGAGGTAAGTACGAGATGCACATGTGGAAACAGCTGGAAACTTGGCACGGGAGGCCAGCATTATTACTTCACATGGTTGGGAGCCCTGCACGGTTTCACATCGGCGTCGGTGTGCGAGGGTGGGTGACGGAGGGGTAGGGGACGTCTACATTTCCCGCGCTATGTCGTAAGGGGCATTTTTCGCGACACAGCCTACCCACTTAGGGGATGTAAAGCGGTAACTCCACCGTCCTGGATGTTTTCACTCATTATTCACATTGCTGTTTACACTTCTGTAGCTAAGCGCCTTCAACTGTTTAGGGAACTTGAGCTATCAGCTGGCGAAATAATCCACGTCCCACAGAAAAGAGGCTGTAACTAATGCAACCCTTTGCTTTTTTATAATATTCCAGCTCACCGCCGTTTGCTACCATCCCGCTACCCGAGCGACTTAATCAAGGAGGGTCAAAGGCTACGCCAGGTCGCATCACTTCCCATTATCTCCAATAACCACATCCCCTCCTTTCTATTAGTTTCCCAAAGACGCAAGCCGTTTCTCCGCAGGTCGGGCTCAACGTATAGTATTTCAGCGGGGGCAGTTTCTCAA